GGGTCGGGGTCGGGTAAGGGAGCGAAGGGCCGGGGTTCGGGTTCAGGCTCTGGCTGAGCCAGGACTGAGGTCGGGCTCAGGGCCGGGAGTTACGGCTGCGGCCGGGCCGGGGGGTGTCTGCGGGGCGGGGGTCGGGTTAGGGCTGAGCCCTTGGGGCGGGGGTCGGCGGGGGCAGCCCCCGCCCCGCGGGACGGCCCTTCTCGCTCGCAGCCCTGGGGCCGGTGTGGGGGTAGGGTTGGGTTTAGCATTAGGATTTGGATTAGGATTGGGGTTAGCACCTGGGTTAGGGTCAGCGTGAGGGTTAGGACTGACATGAGGTTTAGGGTTAGTGCCAGGGTCCGGGTTAGGATCAGAGTTAAGGTTAGCGTTAGTATTGGGGTTAGGGTAGGGGTTATTGTTGGGTTACGGTTATTGTCAGGGCCAGGTTTAGGGTGTGAGTCAGGCTGGGGATTAAGGTTAGGGTTACAGGCAGCACTGGATTAGGGTTAGGATTAAGATTAGGGTTAGGGCACCCCGGGTCTGGGCATCTTTGCCGATGGGGCTGCCCTCGCTCCTTTTTTGAGGCTCTCCCTCCCACCCACTGTGGGGGGGTGCTCGGGGTCTGAGGTGGCTGCGTCCTGCCTCCCCATCCCCTACCAGATGTCACAGCAGCCCCCAGGCGATGGCTCCCCAACACGTCCCAGCTCGCCTGGCGTCCTGGCTGGCGTGGGGCACCCGGGGCCGCATGGCAGCATGCCCTGGCAGCAGCCCCAGAAAGCACCCATGGGTGCTGTGGGGTTGTGTCAGCAGCGTCCACGCCGGGACACTGGGACGGGCGCTGCCAGGAATGTGCCGGGTGCCCTGCCACTGCCATGGCGTTATGGGACCCATCCCAGGATGAGCTTCCCTCCACCTTTCCGGTGAATCGGTGCTGCTGACTCCCCGGGACCTTCCCGAATGCAGTGCTGGGGCCAGCAGCTGCCTCCTCCCTGGGCTGCCCAGCCGGGGAGGGGTGAGACGCAACAGGACAGCGCTGAATTCACTTTAGTTTATTTCTTTTCATTTTTTTCTTGTTCCAAACTGCAAATCCTGGTGCCAATGGCATCTCGTCTCGAATAACACCCAATTGCTAAAGTCAATGCAGGGGCGCCGGTGGCGCCGGGCCAGAGGCGGGAGGCTGCCCGGCAGCCAGTTTGGGCAATTCGGGGCTGCCACGTCCCTGCTCGACGCCGAGGGGACAGGCTGGAGAGAAATAAATATTGCTGCACTAGCGAGGGATGCCTCCAGGAGCGGGGCCGGGAGCCGCCCCGAGAGCCGGGCTGTGGCTGGGGGGGACATACAAAAAAGAGGCCAAAAAAAAAAAAGAAAACCAACAAAACAGATTGATGAACCAAAACGAAGTTTGCTGGAAGCCCGGGGCTGTTTCGGGGGGGAGGAAGGAGCTGGATTCCTGACTTCAATTTGCACGGCGAGCCCTGGCAGCACAGCCCTGCACCGCTTGGCACCGGATCCCGGCGGTGCTGCCGGCTCTGGGCTTGCGGTCACTCCCCCTGTGGAGCCGAATCGGGGGTGGGCATGGGGCCAGTGGGGGGTTACAGTGCTGGGCAGGCGACCTGGTGCCGGATGCCCTCGTTGCACATGAGGGCAGCTGCCCGCTCGTCGCCGTCGCTGTGCTGGCACTGCATGTAGCTGATGCCGTGGGGTGAGTAGCTGTGGTGGGCACAGACATTGCAGGTGCGGGTCATGGTGCCACCTGTGCTGCTCCTGTGGGCAGAGGGAAGCCCCAGTGGCACCTGTCAGTGCTCAGTGGTGCCCAGTGGCACCCATCAGCACCCATCAGTGACTGGTGGCACCCCTTGGTGCTCATGGATGCTCAGCAGTGCCTGGCAGTGCCCAGTGGCACCCATTGGCACCCCATTGGTTTCTATCATTGCCAGCCAGTGCCTGGTGGCACTCATCAGCTCATCGGTGCCCTCTGGCACACATTAGTACCTACCTGATGGCACCCACCAGTGCTCACTGGGATCCATTGGTACCTGGCAGTTCCCAGTGGTACCTATCAGCACCCAGTGCCACCCATTGGTGCCCATCAGTGCTTGTTAGTCCCCATCATTGTTTGGTGGTACCCATAGGTGATCCATGGTGGCCATCAGTGCCTCGTGACACCCAGCAGTGCCCATGGGTGCCCGTCGGGTCCCAGTGGTACCCAGCAGTGCCTGTGGGTGCCCATCAGTCCCCAGTAATGCCCAGTGATGTCTGTCAGCGCCCAGTGACACCCACCGGTGCCCATCAGCCCCTAGTGGTACCCAGTGGTGCCCACCAGTCCCCTGCAATAAATACCCAGTGATGCCCGCCAGTGCCCAGTGGCACCCACTGGTGCCCACTGGCCCCGTACCCATCCCATGCCCCTCACCTGCAGTCGCTGCAGGCTCGCTGGCACTCCTTCCGGCGGTAGCGGCAGATCAGCGCCCAGATGAGGAGCCCAAGCAGGCTGAGGAGCAGGAGGGACCCCAGGATAGAGCCCACGATGATGCCCGCCTGCCTTCCTCCTGCCGCAGGAGCACAGCCTGTCACCGCCGGCCTCCCCACCGGCTGCCCACTGGTCACCATGCCCCAGGTGGCACGCTGGCACTCAGAGCCAGCCCCTGGCAGCACCCTGCCAGCACTGTCCTGCCCATGGTGGCACTTACTTGGCACAAGACTGAGGTTGAGCTGGCACACAGAGTAGCCCACGCGGTTGGTGACGCGGCACTGGTAGATGCCAGCGTGCACCTCCGACAGGCTACGGATTAATAGGTCGCCAGGAGCACGTCCTGCAGTGGGGAGAGACAGCCCCGTCAGCCCCACCGTCGGACACGGGTGCACAGGGTCAAGGCACATACAGACAGGGACATCCATGAACACAGGCACACACAGACACCCATGTATCTCGGTGCACACAGCCCTGGGCACCCACCAACACATGCCCTCACAGACAGGGACACCCCACCCATGAGTATCCCCCGCACCCAGCAGAGTCCCCCGGGGAAGCGCCCTGGGTGGGCACAGCCCCGCCAGAACCCACCTTGGATGGTGCCGGAGGGCAGGCGTCCCCCGCCGTAGCCATCAGCCAGCTTGGCCCACTGGTAGGCAAGCGGGGAGGTGCCTCCCCGGCTGTAGCACCGCAGCAGGATGCTGCTCCCCTCTATCACCTCCCCCTCGGTCCAGCACTGCGGGGTGGCTGGCTTCTCTGCAGGGAGAGGGACACTGTCACCGCCAGGGCCACTGGGGGCTAGCTGGAGCACCCGGGAGGGGGGCATGGGGCAGGGGGGAGCTCACCTTGCACAGTGACGATGACCTCGTGCACGGCCACGGTATTTTTCTTCACCCGGCACTGGTAGGTGCCAGTGTCGGAGACCTGCAGGTCGGCCAGGCGGATGGAGGCGTCGTACTGGCTGGGGTCGTTCTGCACGAAGGCTACCCGGTCCTGCAGCCCTGAGCCACTGCCGTAGTTGACGTGGTGATCGTGGTAGGACAGGAACTGGGGGGGGGCAAGCAGGGAGACTGGGCAGGGCTGGTCCAGGTCGGGGGACCTGGGGCTGCCAGCTGGGGAAGGAAATGCACTGCCCGGCGCCTGCCTGCCCTTGCCTGCCCCTGCCTATTCCTTCCCTGCCCTGCCAGACCTTGCCTGTCCTGCCTGTCCTTGCCTGGTTGGCTGGGCTCCATCTGGTCCATCCCAGCCCTGCCTGCCCTGCCTGCATGGTGGGATGGCAGCTGCTGGGGCAAGTGACACTCACCACATTCTCCGGTCCGGGCCGCTCGGGCGTGATCTGGATCCACTCGATGCCCACACCCTGGGGACCGTTGTCTTCAGGCTCGAGGACATAGGGGCAGCCCAGCTTCACCGAGTCACCCTTGGCCAGGTACAGCACTTCCCGGCCCTTGCTGTTGATCCTGACAGCCAGGAGGAGAGCTGGGGAGAGAACGGCACCCATCGCACCAGCTGGGAACACCCCAAACCTGTGCCACAATGCACCCCAACCCCACACCTGGCAGCACCCCAACCTGCAGGGAGCAGGAATGGGGCAGGAAGCCATCTCCCAAGGCCAGGCACCTGCAGGGATTGGGTGTCCTGGTGGGGTTGAGTACCCATCAGGGCTGGCACCATCTGGGTCCTGTGAAGCTGCATCGGGGACAAAGGGACTTGGCGTGCTCAATGCCACCTGCCTGGCTCTGGCCAAGACAGGTGCGTGTCAGGGCAGAACCAGGGACGTATCCAGCACCCTGGGGTTCCCCAAGGCTGGGCAGGGACCCCTCCATCCTCGGCGGCATTGCTGCAGGAGCAGGTCCAAGTGCAGGGATCCATCAGTGCCTACCTGGCATGAGACCCAGGAGCAGGAGCAGGCTGGCGCCGTGCCCTGCCATGACGCTGCAGCCGTGCCGGGTGGTGAGGAGGAGCAGGAGCAGAGGAGGCTCCGAGGCGACAAGGCAGCCGGCCGTGCGGGGCTGCTTTTACATGCTGGGCCGGGGTGCTCCTCCCTGTGGGGCGGATGCCTTTGGGATGACTGAGTGGCTCCAAGCTGTGCGTGAGCGATGCCGCCCTGCTCCACTCCCTACCTGGTAATTAAGCATCGCCATGGTATGGCCTCCCATCCAGCCGGACCTGGGCTGGGGGGTCACTGCAGGCACCGTGGGCAGGAGGCACCAGCACACCCTTGGGGCACCTGGAGCAGCAGAGCAGGGATCAGGGGGGCTGTGGACCCCATGGTGACCAGTGGCTGGTACCCTGATGTGGGCACTGGTGGGATGAGTGTGGCTGGTGGGAAAAGGCTGCCTGGGACCCTGCAGGAACATGGCTGAGCACTGTGGCTGCATGGAAGTGCCAACTTGGCCCCATGCAGGTCCCGAAAGGATTTTGGTCTTGGGGCAGGACTCAGGGCAATTGGAAGAGCTTAAAGGTGTGGTTTGACCATGAGCTTAAGCTTCTGCAGATCCCTCCTCTGGTCCTGCCCCCTCAGCAAGCGGGCATGGAGATGCAGCCATGTGGGGATCATGGCACCCACCAAGCTCACGCTGGTGCTGGTGGCACTGCTGAAATTCAGTGCAGAGACCTGGCTCGTGCTCCAGGCCATGGCTCGCTGCATGGGGACTGTGGCACGGCAGCAACAGGGGCAGCACACCCTGGGTCATGCTCAGCACAGCGGAGGAGACAAGCAGTGTGGCTGGAGAAGACTGGGACAGCTGGAGGGGAGGAAGAGAGGGGCCGAAACCTGCTGGGATCTGAGGGCAGGAGTTGGGACAGGGATGCTCAGCAGCGGATGGAGGAGCTGGGACAGGGATGCTCTGCAGCAGGTCTTGGGAGCCACACAGGGGATGCTCAGCCCTGTGGCAAGCCCCAGCCTTGGGCATTCTCCATGCCCATGTCCGTTGGCGGGGCTGAGCCCCCACGCTGGGCTGCTCTGGTGCTGTGGCCAGGGTCAGGCCCCATGTCCAGCTCACCTGTGCACTGCCCCGCGGCACAGCTCAGCGATGCTGGTACTTTCCACACCATGACTGCCCCAGCTGGCTCGGCAGCACCACCCAGCCAGTCCCAAACACTCCCTGAGGCCAAGAGTTGCTCCATTTACTGGCCCCAAGCTGAGCTCACCGCTGCCAGTTAACCCTTACCGGCCCTGTGCTGGGAATTGGGGTTGAACCCAGCACGTGCTTTGCCACGTCTGTGATTTCAGGGCCCCTGTGCGTGGCCTGGCCCCAGGGCAGCACCGACGCGGCGAGGGGTGCCGCCTGCCGGGGCTGTTCCCACGTGGCCGTTCCCGCGGTGACGGGCCCGTGGCTCACCGTGGCTCGGGGCTCCTTGCCGGCGCGGCGTTGGCTCCCCAGCCAGTGACTCCTGCATTCCTCGGCATAGGGAGCCCTGCTCGTGCAGGAAGGGTGGGGAAGCTGCTCCACCCCAGCTGGCCGCCCGCCGGTGGTCATAGCCCCCTCGGCGTGGCTGGCGCGGTGGCTTTGAAACCCTCTGGGCTAAGCCTGGCCTAGAACAAGGCTGTGACTGCCTGGCCGAGGCAGTGACCGAGAGTGACACGACCGGCATGTGGCTGCTGGGGACCAGGGATGGACAGCTGAGCCTAGCACAGACCACTGCAGATGTTTTGTGGGCTGGGCTTCGGTGTCAAAGCCCCAAGGGTCCCAGAGAACTTGGTGGCTGCAGGGGCTTGCTCGGGGTTAGGTCTGAGGCAGCAGATGCCCTGCAGAGCCAGTAATGCATTTCAGCCCATGCCCCAGAAGGGATGTCACACCACAGGGACACACAGCAGCTGGAGAAGGGACAGATAACAAGAGGCTACGGCATTTTGTCCTTCCTATTTACCCAGCCTGGAGGAGGCTCAGGCTCACAGCAGAGTCCTGAACTGTCCCCGTGCCCTGGGCAGTCTCACCTGTGCCAGCTCTCCTTATTTTTCAGCTGCTCTGACAATTAATCAGAGCCACTCCTATGGGATCCTGGCTCTCTGAAGCTGCCAGTCCCTATCCAAATGGATTTTAAATGTTTGCATCATGCTCCGGTCTCTTTGCTTTGCCCCTGCAGAAGGCCACAGGGCCTGGAGGTGACACATTGGTGAGAAGGTGGCACTGCCAGGGCTGATGCAGCTGTGGGCAGCCAGGGCCAGGGCTGTGTGCATGAAGAGCCTGTCTGGCTCATGGAGACTCTACCTGAGCTACCCTGCATGGGCTGGGAACACCCACACTGCTTTGGTGGTGACACTGAGCCCTGCCAAGGGCCTGGGGATGCTCCTGGCTCCTCCAAGGACACGGGCCACCTCTGACAGCTTTCGCCCAGTGGATGTGGGGAGATGGGCAAGGGGTGACCTTGGTCCCGGGAGTGGGGCAGGTTGGACAATGAGCCTTTGGGCTACTCAAACCCCAGGAGCAGCTCCCAGCCCATAAATCCAAAGCGAGAGAAGGATGAAAGACACTGTCTGCTCCATAAACATCTCTGTTCATTGAAAACTCAGCCTAATGGAAACCTCTAAGTCGCTGGGGAACTGGAGCTTCACTCTTCATGGGGCTGAGCCTGGCCAGGGGCTGTGCTTGCTTGGCTCAGAGCCCTCCGCTCCACTTGGGCGCAGTACTTCTCAGGGATGCCGGAGGATCTGCAGAGGAAAGAAATCATCAGGCACGCTGTACTACACTGGAGCCAAGATTTAGGACCATGGGAGAGATGGAGCAGATCCTGTTTGGTGAGTATGCAGAAGAACCTGTGAAGTGGCCCAGGGGTCAGGAGATGGTGGGAAGCCTGGGAGGACTTAGGGACATGCAGGGAACCAGGCAAGTAAGTGGCGACTGGCAACACATCACCTGAGCTCCTGCATCTTCTGCTGCTTGAGCTGGGCAATGCGCTGGCTGCGCTGGCGGGCCTCCTCCTCCAGCCGCTGGCACTCCTTAAAGGCGGCGACCCGCTCCTGCGCCAGCTGCTGCTGACGCTCCCGCATCTGGCGCCTGACGTCATTAGCATGGGCGAGCTGCAGACCTGCCTTCCGCGCTTCCTCTGCTTTCTCCTTCTCCATCTGCTCCTGCTGGGCCCTGCAGGAGAGCTCGGGGCAGATGAGAGGCCCTGCTCCAGCCCCTGCAGGTGCTGATAACCTGCCCACAGGGCCTTGGCCAGCACCAGAGCCACCAGCTTTGCTGACTTGACCTGGGAGCCCCCACGGCAGCCCCCCAGCCACTGTGTCACCCATCTCTCAGCTCCATTTCACAAGGCAGGGGCCAGCCATCTCACCAGTGAGCTCCTAGTACTGTCCCTCTCACCTGAGAATCCTCTCAAATTCGTGGCGGTCCTGCTGCACTTGCACGGCCATGCTGTGCTCCCGCTGGGCAATCTGCTCCAGGCGGCTCCTCTTCAGCATCTGCTCCATCTCGGCCTTCCTCTGCACCGCCTCCTTCTCTTTGCGCCGCCACTCTCGCTCAGCAGCCTCTTGGCTGCGCTTGGCCCTCAGCGCGTCCTGACAAAGGGGGACAGTGGCAACGCTGGAGGGGTCATGGAGGGCTTCCCTTGGCGGGAGGTATGGAAGCACTTGACCATGGTTTTGCATCTCTCCCAGCACCACGGCCAGCTCTGCTCCAGGACATCACCTTGCCCCAGGTGCTGGTCCAGACCTGCAATGCCCCAGTAGACCCACCACATCCAGGGGAGCTTCCACTTTGCTGGGGTGGTGATGAGGAAGGTGGCGAGTGAGCCAGCACAGGAGCAAGCCACTCACCTGCTCTGCCTGGTGGTCCCGGGCCCTCTCTTGCATGGCTCTCAAGCGTGCCATCTCCTTCTCCTTCTCCCGACGGATTCTCTCCTGCTCAGCTTCGAACTCAGCCTCACGCTCCTGTGTGGGACAGAGCCTTGTGGCAGCTTCCTGCAGCACCTCTGCTGCCTGCTGAACCTATGCCATTGCCACACATGCTCAGTCCTATTACCATTTTCTGCCTCTGGTACTCGAGCACCTGTTCATCTGCCATTCTCTCCTGCTCCCGCTGCTCCTCCTTGCACCTCTGGTTCTCATCATTGATGTGTTTAATCTCAGCCTGGACTTTCTTCTGTTGCTCCTGTCTCCGTTCCAAGTCCTGAAAACGGTGCAGGGGGTCCGAGGGTGACAGGGCAAGCACCACAGAACAAAGCACTCCCTCCGCTCCTCCCTGTGTGCCTTCCTGAGGGCCCAGCAGCACACTCGCAGCAAGGGAGGGCTTAGCAGCTTGGGTTACTTTCTGAGGATGCCTCAACTTCCCCAAGAGACCAGAGCTTTAATTCTGATGGCTGTTGACTCTACACACCAAGTCCGACTTACTCAGCACTGGGTCACCCTTCCAACCTTCCAACAAGGTGAAAATCTAGCTCCATTCCCCCCTGCTCCCCAGTGGGGCACCATTCACACCTTCAGGTCCTCCATCTTCAGCTGCTCCAGGTACTCCAGCAGCTCCTGTGCCTCCTGGTCCCGTTGCTCAGCTCTCAGAGCCCGCTCCTCCGCATTCTGCTCCATCTGCTTTACAAGCTCCTGCCTCCCTCTGGAAAGAAGAGAGTGGAAGGGTTCCCTCTGGCTCTGTCCCACTCCCAAAAGCAGAAATGCCGGCATGCACATCAGGTGGTGTGTCTGCTGTGTCATGCTGCCTGGTCCAGCTGCAGTGACTGGGAGGTGTGCTGTGGTGCGAAGCTGGCAGCTGGAGGTTACCCCAGCTCTCACACAAGACCTGGGAAGAGGAAGGATGCCTCTGCAGGGAAGAGGGACACTTGCAAACCTGATCAACTCCTGCTTCCTCCTGCCCTCCAGTTCCTCCTGCATCTCGTCAGCCTTTTTCCTCTCCACCTCCATCATCTTGGCCAGGCGCTTCTCTTCTTCCTCCAGCTCTTTTGCGATGAGCTGCTTCTCAAGGATCTGCATGTCACG